GAAAATGCCAAAATATTCAGACTGGAAAGGAGATCTCAACATATCTCTACCGAAGGCCTCAACCTGAGCCATCCAAAAATGAACAAAAAACATGGACACAGTCCACCGCCTGAGTAGCGGCGCGGGCTGCGAGAGTCTCGGTTCGCAGAGACGCGACTGCGGGAGACATATCTGCCACGGGACATCTGCCGATCGCGGCCACGGTCCTGGCAGGGGGTACAAAAAAACCGGTCTCAGCTCCTCGGTTGAAGAGAAAAGGAGTCCGCCTCGTCACGGTCATAGTCACGACGACCTGCCAACTTCAGTTATTTGATGCATAACTCCACCATGGCTGGAAACATTCTGGCAACTTGTTGCAAGATCATGAGCGTCATTGGGTCACTTGTTTGCTGCCGATTGCTGCCATCCAAGATCGTGCTCCTCTTTTGCTCTTCGCAGATTCAGGGTCGATGTCTATCTTTAGAGATTTATTGATGACTGCACTATCTCAGGAAGCCAGTGGAAAAACACCCAAAGCCTTCTGGTTGTCTCAAGTCTTGTGACCCTGTGAGGCTGGCTCATTTTGCTAGGCTCTGAGAGCCCAATAAATCTACAAGTTTTGTGTGGGTACCGTAGTCCTCTTCTCTGGGTGTGTAAGAGTTGAGGGGGGGGCAGCGCCCATGCAGAGAGCCAAGCCTCCAAAGGGTCCCAAGCTTACTTGAAGAGGCAGAACCGGCAGAACCCGGTGGCGAAGCTGTACCAGGGCTTGGGAGAGTGATCAGTCAAACTACAAGTCCTAACATGTCTAGGACATCTCTACAAGGCCTGTTCAGGCTGGGCCGCACTTGGTCCTACATGGCCTCTTTTCACTTTCATTGCAGTTACACTAACTACTGGATTCGCCGGTGAGCGCGGGCATTGGTGCAAGGACTGCGGAAACAAAGACGCCACATCTCCGGATTCAGCTGAAAGGCCTGCCCCGTCAAACAGACTCCCAACCGACCCCTCGACTTCTTTCGGATATGGTAGAACCCCAATAAGAAGGATCTGACAATACTCATCAAGTGTCTTCACATCCAGCTGTCGCCTCTGCCGTTCTGGGCAATCCCCAAGACGATTGTATCCTTCCGGGCCTCGATGCTCCGCACGGGCAAGGCCTAGAATGAACAGCTGCTCCCTTTCTTTCGACTTCTCAGCAAACCTCCGGTTCAGCTCCGCAGGGGAAGCATCGAAGCCAGCAGCAGTTACGGCGATGTCAGTGAGACGGCGTCGTCCTGCTGAGAAGTCCACACTGATTCTATCGCTGGAGGCATTGCGGTACTTGAAGTTCACAGTCTCCCAGCTTTTGACTCGCAAAATCATCACTGATCGCAAATGCTTCTTCGGATGTACAAACCAAATCCTTTTGCCTGGCTGGACGGCGTCAAACTTTCCGAGAGCACTCTTCCAAGGCCACTGCAACTCCACATCATCCACTGCCATGTTGAACAGGGCCATGCCTGCCGTGGCCTTGTTGAAACGATGCTTCAGTGGCATTACTACAAATGCCAAGACGCACATGTTGTGCCACAGAAAATGTTTGTACACAAGGTACCTTACACCTGTGTGCACGTGTGCCATCAGTCTACTTTGTATGCAGTAGCAGCAGTAACAGCAGCAGTAACAGCAGCAGTAACAGCAGCAGTAACAGCAGCAGTAACAGCAGCAGCAGCAGCAGGAGTAGCAGGAGGAGTAGCAGCCGCAGTCGCAGTCACCGTCGCCGTCGCCGCCGTTGTCGCCATTGTCGCCGTTGTCGCCGTTGTCGCCGTTGTCGCCGTTGTCGCCGTGGTGGTGGTGGTGGTGGTGGTGGTGGCGGCTGTAGCAGCAGCAGTAGCAGTAGCAGTAGCAGTAGCTGTTGCTTGTTAAATAAAAGCACAAATGTATACAAATGTCAATTAGCATGCAAGTGGCTGCAAACACCGTTTAAAAACACTGTTTAAAAAGTCAACCGAAACCACGTGTTGGAACTGAAGCAAGGAGCGTTTCTTTCAAGGTCGCAACGGCTGTGCAGCGTCAAGGTTGTACACAAAAGGTCCTCGTTCTGGTGCGGATACGTTCCATGAGCTGTCTCCAAATAGTCACGAGCATCCTCCTCAAAAAAGCAAACTTCCACGATGTCTCCAATCTGGGGCACCTTGGTCTTCTTCAGCCAGAAGTGACCCTTCTCGTCACCTAAGAGCCGGAATCTGTCTTCGGGAATAGGTCTGACAATTTGGCCTGCTCGATATTTCTGCGACTGGTTTGACTTCGCGACGACTGCGATGAAGCAGTAAAGTGGCATTTTCGGATGGTCTGTTCTGGCAATGACATTAGCCATCAGCCTCTTAGGCTCTCCACTTCGAAGAGGAGGGTTCGAAGAACGCGGAATATCAGCCGGCTCCAAAACTGCAACAGGTTCTGCTTCTAGCTTGGAAAGTGAAACCACTGCCTTTTCCAGGTCGTACGAAGCCTCCATGAGATGTGCACTGAGCACGTCATCATCAAATATGGGAAAGTTGTGCCGAAGTTTGGACACGGGATCCGAGATATCCTCGTGGAAAGCACGCCACTCAACTTCAAAAGAATCCTCCTTCTCGTTTGCATCTTCTTCTGCACTATTTTCAGAGCTTCCAGCCTGCTTGGCCTTGGTGTCTCTACTCTTTAGCTTTTTGTTGGACAGATGCGCATCTTTCTTTTCTGCCTTTTCTCTCTTTTCTCTCCTCTTTCTCTTCTCTCTTTCGTGTCTCTCTTCCTCAGCAAGCAGTTCCTCAGCAGATCGGCGACTGTGTTCCTCCTCAGCAGCTCGGCGACTTTGTTCCTCGTCTCGGCTTTGGCAAAGCAAGCTCCGTGTCTCATCTTCCAACTCAGCTGCCCTAAACAACTTCGAGCCTTCCCAAATAGCCACGTCTAGCTCATCCGTACTGTTTGCCAGGCTCCCTGGCAATGAGCCATGCACTGCCGGGAGCTGGTCCATCATCTGCAAGACTAGGAGCATCTTTTGCCGTGCAAACCCCTCACCGTTATAGGGACAAAACCGGCAGCTGTCCTTCAGGTGTCTCAGAAAGTGATATCCACCTGGGATGGTGGACAGCATAGACTTTGGCCTCAATCGGACCACAATCTGCACTTTTTGAACGGTGACACGGGCATGCTTGTTATGTATGTACCGGTTGCAGGTAAAGGATTCACACCACCTGGTCCAAGGAGCATCCTCGGTACACACTTTGGATGCGGATGGAGCGCAAAGAGCGAAAGGGTAGCTTGCGTGAAAATTCCACTGCACCTTCTCATCAAGCCAAAATGTTCTGGGACAAAGAATCCAAGAATTCGATGGGGCATGGAAGCACAAAGCCCTGGAGGAGTCTTTTGACCAGTAGGTAGGGCGATCATAAAGCATGAACGCTTCTCCCGGCCGCTCGAAGTAGTCTCCATTGCAGCGCTGGTTCCAGAAACCACTCAATGTGATTTTCTGAAGGGTCTGCGTCTTGACACCTTCTGGGCTTCCAAGCATGGAGAATTGCCCTGCAAGGGGCATCATTGCTCGAAGAACGAGGCTGGCATGTAAATTCTCTGCGACCTGCTCCAGCCAAGAGTCATCAGGGTGGTGTGGCCATTCCGGGGCTGACCCCCGATCAGTGAGGCAAGTGCCAAGGCACAAAAGAAGTCCCTGTGTCGTGTCCAGCACCGATGACCATAGCGATGTCAACAGTGATTCCATGACCACCATACAGCACGTATGGGGCCTGCGCTTGAGCCGTAGGCAGAGCAGTCACGTCCCCAGCTGCCTTTAGAAGCGCAAGACTGTCACTGAAATCATTCGAATGCCCATCCTGCGGCGAACCGCACTCCTTCTGCAAGTTCACTTGGAAGTGAGCCTCAAAATAAAATCTCTCTGGCAAGGACCATCTGGCACATCTATGCATCTACGTGAACACTGAAAATAGTTTATCTACAAGCATCACATCACAGTCAGGTCCGCTCGTGTAAGGCAAGCAGGAGCATGGGAAATTGTTTCGAACAAGAACCAAAGCAGTCACAGCAATCTCCAGATTGGAAAAAAACAACCCATGGAGTTGCAGAAAATCAACATGGTGTCAAACTGTCACCGCCCAATGCGAAAGAAAATCCTTGCATCTAATCTATATATATATCTCAAAATCTGTTTGCATGTAAAAAATTTTGATTGAAGTCCAAAACATACCCAGAAATCATGACCCGAGAACCGAAGGTTGGATGATGTTCCACACATTATGGTGTCATTGGCCTCCTTCTGTGCCAGCATCGATGATGGGCTCCAGCCAATCGTCCAAAAAAAAAGAAGCAAAAGTAAAGCCGTGTTTGTTGGTATCTGCATCACTTTGTCTAGATTCGCCTGCTCTACCAGTTTAGTTTGTCATAAGACTGGTCACCTCAGGAATTGAATGGTCTTGAGCCTCTATGGCCATGAAATCAAGGGCGTTCAGTTCCCGAAAGCTGTGCGCTCCGGGCGGCAGCTGTCGCTCACCCTGCATGTTGTCGCAGTGGCGAGTCCCAAAGGTCAATGAGCAATGGCCTGCGGTCAGTGGTTTTGGTCCATGTTCAATGTCTTCTGCTCAAAACCTGCCCGCGGTCCTTTTCTCAACACTGACATGGTCCTTTTCCCAGTCAATTGGTGCTATGAAGTTGTATCCAACACTGCGTACTCACGTCTTGCTGACCAACTGACGATCTTGATACAAAAAAGGACGAACGGACTGAAGAAGCTTGACAAAGGAGGAATGTACTCATCGTCAGGTTTCCAGATGGCCCAGGGTTTCACACATCCAGTGCTTGGCTGCTTCCCCCCGAGAGAACATGCCATGCCTGGTCCGCCACCAACCAGATCAGGTCCGTCACACCACCGGAACGAACGGTGAACCGATCACCCTTCGACAGGGCCGGCCACGGTCCGTCGGAGGGTACGAGCTACATCGAGTCGATAAAACCGACCAAAAACAGCTACTGTATATCCATTTGCATTCCCGCAAATCAACGGCAGTGAGGGTGGGCATGTGGCAGCCCTCAGCAGTTTCCTCATGAACCCCAATGCTCTATGTTTATGCTTTATGACCTAAACCTAAAGTGCTAAGCAATACCCCAATGATTACCCCAATGTGGGTCAAATTTGCTTACAAAGAGGATCAAACTGAACGATTTCTCTCGTCGTCTTTGGATAAACATCGCACCCTCCAGCTAAGAACTACCCCTCTAGATATTGTCCACCACCACCGGATGGACCCTGGGAACACCAGTGGCCACGGCCAGCAGAATGTGAAGAACATCTTCGGATCGAAATGCCATGGATGTCGGTCATAGTCATTTCAGATTTCAGGGAGAACACCCTGGACTTGTATAGCGAGCGTCCACAGACCCACAGACTTGAAGCACTGTCCTTTAATCGAGCGTCCAGCAGGCAGAAAGCTGCAGGCTCAGAGTCCATGGCATCGAGTTTGCATGGCAGGACCTGCCCTGGCTCTAACCGTTGATGTTTTACAATCAGTTTGGCAGCCTGACCTGCTGACTTTGAGACACTACTTCGGATGAATAATACAGGAGTGTGTCACAATATACAGACAAAGCGGCTCTTATTTCCTACAAGGCACTGGTTTCAAGACATGAATGTTCATGTCAAAGAAATTGTTTCGCAAACAGGCTGTAATTAATGGAGACAGCCAAGACCGCACTGAAAGAGCTTCGATAGCCACCAGATTGAAACTAAAACTGTGCAGAACAAGAATCAAGGCCTTTGCATCAAAAATATATAATATAATATAGCACCAGGCGTTTGCAGCTCAAACCGTTCAACTTCGTACCTTTCATGGCC